CACAAACTGGTTTTTCGTAAGATTCCACTTTCAGGAAGAGCTCTTGTGAAGAGTAACATAAATCTTAAGGAAGCTCTTGTCAAGGCAGTTTACGAAAAACAAACCAGAAACTTCACAGCTAAAGCGCTGAAGACTCGGGAGCTCGTCCCGCAGGGCATAGGTCAGACTCTGCCACCGAGAAATAACAGCCCGAGGGGCCAAGTTTCCGGAAGGGGCATCCACGGGAGGGGTCAGCTGGCGTCTCAGCTGGGCCTGTGGCCTGGCCGTGGGCGTGCCCGAGGACAAGGGCGCCTTTGAGCCCAGGCCTGTGTCCCGCTCCGCGGAGGGCAGCTGGCACGCTCAGCGCGCGCCCTCCCCCCTGGCCGGCTCCTGCTCTCGCCACCCGCCCAGGCCGCGGCTGCCTGCAGCCTGCCAGAGGCAGAGCAGGAGGGAAGGAAGCACTCAGGTGACCCGTGCCGAGGAGGCGCCCACAGGCCCGGCCCGGCCCGCTCGGGGGTGTCCCCGCGACTGGAGTGGGCGGTGGGCAGTCACGAGAGGGGGAGCGTGTTGCTCCATTTGGGGGTTGCTCGGCCCCGTGTTCTGGTCACCTCTGGTCAGTCGCCCGACAGCCGCCGGGTAAATATTCTGGCGAGGACACATCGTTATGTTGGATAATGCAGCAGGGGCAAGAATGCACGAACTCACATGTTCCTCCCAGCTCATGTTCCGGTTGCTGATTTGCCTTATTTTCTTAAAAAAAAAAAAAAAGAAAAGAAATCTCTTTGGGGGCCTCCCTGGTGGGGGATGGGGCTGAGCCTCAGCACTGTGAAGCTGTCTCAGCTGCTTCAGCGCAAGTCCGATCCCCGGCCAGGGAGGGACCCCCAGGGCGCAGCAGACCCCTCCTGCCTCTGCACTGCCCCTTCAGCAGTGGGTTTCAGTGGATCCACCTGTTCGGCTCCCCACTCTGTCTCTGGGGAGTCCTTTCACCCCCCCATCCTCTGGTCTGTGCCCCAGTTCTTGTGTGCATAAATAGATAAATCCTCTAAAAAAAACCTTCGATGGCTAACTGACTGCAAAAGTTACTAATAAAAAAGAAAGCCCACATTAGCTCATAACCAAGTCTGTTCTCCGCACGCCTTAGTAACAATATTTCACCAAACAAGCAGCTTCTGCACAGTGGGGACCACAGAGCGGGGACAGGGGCCCCCGATTTCGCGCTAGTATACGACCTGCGGAAGGCGCCCGTGATGCCCGAGATTAACTGTAAGCGTTACTTTTCTCTTGGGGTCGGGGGCTCTTGATATACAACGAACAATTATAAAGCAAGTAGAAACCAATAAAACGCTTTAATTTAGCGCAGCCTGAAGTCACACCGATAATTACGGCCGAGCCTCAGACTCCCAGGGGGCGGGGCTCCTGGCCGGGCGGCCGGTGCGCCGGGGGCCCTGGGGCCAGGAGGACAGAGGCCGGTGGACTCGGAGTCGCTGACACCGCGAGCGTGAGACCCCTCTGAGCCCTCCGAGTTTCGGTCATGGCGAAGAGCCCAGGGGTGCCGAGGCCCTGCCCGACAGGGGGCGCGGGGCTCACGCCCCAGCACCGGCCGCACCTCCACTACGTGCGAATGCTGCGGGTGACACACCGGAGCCTTGCTCGGGGCTGAGCTTCCGGCCCAGTGAGGCCTGCGGGTGCCGGGCACCGACGCCGCCGGGTGTGGCAGGGACACGGCCCGGGGCTGGCCTGGCGCACAGGAGGCCGGCAGGGACGGGCTGTCCTCGCCCGCTGCTGGCTCGCGGGCCTGTGTCTGCCCGTCCCCGAAGGACGAGACGAGACGACGTCCTTGCAGACGTCCCTGCAGCCTGAGACGAGCTGGCCAGCCGGTCTCCAGGGGAGATGCCGCCCTTCTCAGGCGGGCGCTGGCGCGTTCCCCTGCCAGGTGACAACGGGCCCCGGGGACTGTCAGGATGATGGGGCCTTGGCCATGGTATGGCGACGCCTGCTTGAAGAGGCGTGAATCTCCTCCACATATACCGTGCTGTAAGCCAGCGCTACCCCAGTAAAGAAAGCAACTTAAAAAAAATTGCTTCTGGAGAGAAAAGAAAAACAACTCTCGATCGACCAGGTGGGTTTCCAGGGACCAGGGAGAATCTTTTCCCAAGTCTGCTCGAACGCTTGGGTTTTACTGGGCCCAAACCCGCTGGCCTCAGTCCCGAGGAGAAGCTGGAGGAAAGACAATGACCCTCAAGTTGTGAGCGGCGCACAGCTGCTTCCGAGGGAGCGACACCTGCCTCGTCCCCATCAGTCAACCTCCCCACAAGAACGGCCAGTCGGAAAGGTCGGATAATTGCTCAGGAGGGAGAAGGTTTCATGCCACCCACCTTCCTCCTGAAGCCAAGTGAGCTGATGATTAAAGCTCCCAAGCGGCCCTCGTCGGGTCCCCGCGGGACACCTGTGCCATCACGACCGCCCCGGATGTGGCCAGCACTAGTCACTGCCTCGGCCTGGGCGCAGCAGGCCTCGGCCTGGGCGCAGCAGCCTCACCTGCCCGCAGGTGACACGGGGCACACGGAGTGGACATGTGAAGTGCCTCCCACCTTCTGCAGGCTTTCAACCAGACGTGAGTGTGGGCAGACGCGCGTCACCCCTGCATACTCCCCCCTTCGTGCTCAGACCCGTCCCAGGGCTCCCGCGGGGTTTCCCTAACCCGCCACCACAAGCTGGTTTTAAACTCAGCAACCAGCAAAGAGCAAGCTGGGGAGCCCCAGGGCCCCCCTTGATCCTCAGAACAGCAGCCCCGGGGCCGCCCTTTCCCGCCCCCTTTCTGCCCGGGCCCTGCCGTGCGTGCAGCGCCGCGGAGCAGGTGACCGCCCGGACTCGCGGGTCAGCCTCGCCCCCTTGAGAGCCCTGCTGCTCCTGCTGATGGCGCCCTGCAGTCATCACCGGCGCTGTCCACACACAGCTCCGTCAGAGGCTGGGGCTGCAGAAGCAAGGTTTCCTTCCATCTGCGACGGGGCTTCGGCTTGGCCGCCCAAGCGGGACGCGGGACTCTGCCCGTGAGGTCTCGTCCTGGGCCCGTCTCACGAGTACGGGGCGGACAGCCTCGTTCCCGAGCTGGGCTTGCGCTCCACTCTGAGGGAGCCAGCCGGAGGCCCCAGAGCCGTGGGCTGCTCACCCTGCGTCTCACGGGGCCACGCCAGGCTCCGCCATGACGAGACCAGCGCGCTCCGTCCCTGCCCGTCTGAGGCCTGTCGGGCGAGATGTCTGCTGCGTCAGGCTTGGGGGAGACTCCGGCTAGGCCAGCCGAGCACGGCTTTCCCTCACCCGGACCTCATCCAGGTCCACCTGCCCTCTCCGCCCCAGCCCTCCCCTCCCACTGGCCACCCAAGTCCACTCAGCCCACGGCAGCAGCGCAGATGGGCTCCTTCTCCCAAGCGACCCTGCATCCACCCATCCACCTGTCATTTCTTTCCAGCAGGCGAGAAGGGCCCTCGGAGAGTCAGCCCCCAGGGAAGCTCGGGCCCACCTGGACTCCAGCCCGAGCCAGTTTATCCCGAGAACTCCTTCTGACAAGTTTTCTCCTTGACTCACGCCGTCACATTTTAGCAAGAATCCTTCTGGATCCTTCTAGAGAACCCCCCCATGCTATCTGGCCTACCCCCTCGCCCCTCCACGCCCACCCCGTCAGCAGGAGGCCCGCCTTCAGGGAGCCCCGGCAGCCAGACGAGCCGAAGCCCCTTTCCTGTTTCCTCCCGGACATGCTCCGCTCCCGCAGGGCCCACCGCCCTCTGGCCGCCGAGTGGCTGCGTGCGACGCGCCCCGGCAGCGAGACCTCCCGCCCCCACGGACGTGCTGGGGCGTCTCTGCAGCCAGGCCTGAGCTCGCGGGGCCAGACAGCACGCGGCCGCCACCACCCACCTGCTAAGCGGCTCGTAGCGGGCACAGCGCCCGCGGCTGCCCGGGAAGGGGGCGCCGCCCAGAGCGAAGTGTGGGTGTCGAGTCTCCACGCTCCGGGGTGGTGCAGGGACCTGCGCCCCCCGCGCCCGGCCGGGAGCCAAGTGGCGGCGCGTTCCCTGGCACTTTAAAAACTCTGTTTTGAAAGGATCCACATAAAACACCCACCACTTCCAGAGAGTGAGCTCTGAAGCAGACTGCGCAGGCTCCAGAAAGGATTAACTACGAAATATGAAAGCTGCTCCCGAGTAATACTTTTGTCCTGGTTTGATTGTATCAGTTCTGGGAGGCATCTGGGTCTCCGCTATCCTGGGTAGAGGCGGGTGGCAAAGGGTCACAGAAAGTGAAGCCATAAAGGCGCGTGAGTATCATCCCCTCCCAGAGACACCTGCACACATCAGTGCAGGGATTTTCCCGCTGCACCAGCTCTTCCAACACCTCCACAAATGAAGATTAAAAAGACTTTTAAAAAATTGCTACAGAAAACAGCCTTTCGCATTTATTTTTGCCAGACTCTCTGAAATGGAATATTCTTTAACCCAGTTGTCTTATTTCCGTAGCATCTGACCGAGATGCATGTGGCTTCTCTCCCGAGGGGGGAGGTCGTGTGCACGCCAGCCATGTTAACAAAGTTAACAGAAGCTGTGATCTGGAACCGGCTCCCAGCGCTCCAGTTCACCGGCCGTGAATGGAAGCCTCATGAAAACCGACAGCGCACAGGGGCCGAGCCAGCGTGAGGCCACTCCCAGGTGGCAGTCCTGGGCCGCTGCCCCGCGCGGGGCCCTGACCGCGCCTGGCCGGCCGCCGGGGTCCCGTGGGCCCCAAGCACGGCCCGAAGCCGCCCGCACTGCCGCGCTGTGCTTTGGCAGAGCCTGGCAGCCTCCGCCTGATCTCCGCAAGCTGCAGATCAGCTTCCAGCGCTGTCCGAGCCACCGAGCTCTCGGCTCATCGGCCACCACCCGTGCTGGGGAGGAAACTGGGCTCCAAAGCACGCTGCTTCCTCGTTAATAAAAATAAAGGCGCGGGCGAGCAAACAAAGGTCGGGAGGAGGTGGCCTGGAGCCCCGCCCTTACCTGCGTCTGGACGACCCGCGCCCAGCCCGCGGGCTCCGAGGTCCTCGAGGTCCTCGCTGGAGAACAGCCGCCTCTGGGTCTGGAAGATAAACAGAAGCCATCCCAGCTTTGTGATTTTATTTTCCAGATAAATAATCTTCAATCATGCGCATTACTCTTTCAAAAGCATCAGGCACGCCCCTGGCCCCCCCTCCCTGCCCGGGAAAAGCAGAGGTCAGAGCCACAGTCTCCCAGCGCCTCCCACAGACCCTCCCCTGGACGGGGTTAGATTTCTGGTGGCTTCAGATCGCACACTATGGGGGCGGGGGTGCACACCACACTGATTTTGCCACGGATTTTGCTAGAAGGTTGCAACGCCGAATCATTGAGCTAACATGGACATTTGATAAATATCGATGAATTGATTAACCACAAGCAATCGAATTTCCAGGGCTGCGCCTTCCAGGCTCAGTGAAAATAAGATGAATAGACCCAGAGTGCTCTGCCGTCTGCAGTTCTGATTATTATGCTGCCCAGCCCTGCCAGAAGCAACGGCTGGTTTTGTGCATTTGTTCTGAGAGCAGCTTGTGTGGGGGAGCGTTTTCGTGCTGGTTGATAAACTTACCATCAGAATCCACTGTCCCCCTGGGTTGCTCCATGCCCACCATTTCCTGGATAAGTGCGTGACCTCCCCAAAGCTGAAAGCACCCCCAGGCCCTGCCGTATTCTTAGCGTGGTTAGAAGAGGCAAAGCATTCACAGAACTTGGCGCTGGCCTCAAATTCCAAACTCCCGTTCAGACTTTAGTCCTGAGGCCGAGGTTAACATCTGCGGTGTCAGTTCCCATCCTGGACCCTTTGGGCGACCAGTTTTGGGGGTTTGCCGGGAAGCTGTGGGCAAACCATTCTGTCCCAAGTGGGAGCCTGACTTGGTGGTTGTGAAGAGAGAGAAAGGGGTGAGGGTGGAGAGGCGTGAGCAGGCACAGGCCGCCCGTGCCACTCCCTGGGCGTCGCTACCTGGCCCCTCACTCATGGCCGTTAGCAGCATGACGACTGTGCTGATGGCCCTGGGGGCCGCGCCCTGCCGGCGTCAGCTCAGCGAGTCGGTGTTGGCCGCGAGAGAATTGCTTCTACCAGCGCTGCAGCGGCTGAGAACAGGCAGGCCAGCTCACCGCGGGGTGGCGCAGAATGGGGTGCAGACCAGGCTCCTCAGGCCCAGCGCTCCTGAGGTCTTAGCCAGGGCACCGTACATTCTGCATTAGCCCGATTTTGACTCCTCATCGACAGGACAGTCTCCTGCTGCGCTCACCCCCGTGATGCCTGCTATGTCCTCGTCTCCGACTAGCGGGGGCTTGTCCTGGGAGGGCCAGATCACGCACGAGAACCTTCCGGGAAGGAAATGAAGGCGCCGTGACCTGGGGCCTGGGACAGGCGTCCTTTCAACCCCAAGGTCACGGGCAAGTTCTCTCTGCTGCTTCGAACACATCGCGTGCATTTTAGGAAGGAAATCTCTATTCCTACAAAAATCCACTGGGGTTTTGCTAGGCGTGGCATCGAGCTGGAGCTCGTTCGGGAGCAGTGTTGCATCTTGACGCGAGGCTCCTGCCCGTGTGCGGGAGATGTCGCCGTGGGCCTGGTCCCCTCTCACTTCTTCAGCAACGTTCTGCGGTTTTCACTGTACAATTATTTTACTTCCTTGGTTCTTTCTCAAGCATGCTATTCTTTTGGAGGCCTTAGAAATTGTTTACATAATTTCAGAGTTTTCACTACTGGAAATCCGGGCCCTGCCAAACGACTGAATTCGTTTATTCTAACAATTCTGGGAGTGGGGCCTTCGGGGCGATCCTGCGGAAGAGCCAGCGTGTGAGCAGAGGTCATGCTTCCTCTTCCCCCCACGGTCCTCTGTGGCATTTTCTTGTCTAGCCACGCTGGTGAGGGCTGGACTGCGGTGGAGGGCGGGCGGCAAGGCAGGCGGTCTGGCCAGGCCCCGCTCCCAGGCCGGGGGAAGGCCGCGGTCCCTGCCGAGGCGACTGTGACCACGGTGTTCCACATCCGGCCGTGGCCGCGGAACCACCTGAAGGCCACTTGGGCGTGTCCCCGTGTCGATGACCCACAGTCCGAGAGGTGGCCGGGACAGGGGGTTTCGTTGCTTTTATGAAGGAGCCGAGGCCCAGAGACGGGGACCAAGCACAAAAGAATGGGTCTCTGGCGCCACACCCCCTCCTGGCCCCGGGACTTTGCTCCTCTCATGCCACCGCGCCCCTCCCGAGCCCACCCTCAGCAGAAATCCCGGTGTCCCGCCTGAGACCCGCCAGGGCTCAGTGCCATGGCCGCGCGTCCATCTGTGAGGGGCCCCAGGAGCCACGCGCCAGCCGGATCCGAATGTGGGGGTCCAGTAGAACCTTCATGTGCGAAAGGCTTCAGCAGACAGCTCACACCCTCGCCTGCTTCCCCCGGCCTTGCCATAATGAGCAGGTCTGTTATTGTTTTTGCTGTTTTCCTGTTTACCGACTCCCCCTTGGAGATGTCTGAGAACTCACTGTGGATCCATAATCCCTTTTCTGCAATTCTAACACCCACGAAGCTCTGAAACCTGAGTTTTCCTCTCTAAGTTTGCAGCAAACTAATCTGACAGCAGAACCTTACCTGAACTAACCTGAAGCTATTTATAATATTAATTTATTCCATTTAGAGTGAATATTCATACATATTATTGCAAAAACATCAGTGAGCTTAATTACAGGGTGCTCCCCGCGATCCCAGCGGGAACGTTGTGCAGTATTACCTTTCTGCAATAAAATTAAGAAATTTGTGTTGAATCACATTTGGCCCCAAGAGTTTTGGATGGAGACTGGTGGATCAGTGCCATGGATATTTAATAAGCTTGCCAGCCCCTGGGTCGGATTTCTGCACACCCTTACCCAGTTGCCGTGAAACAGTCGTTCTTTGCGTTCTGCAGGGATGGGTCCTGGGAAATGGCGACATTAAGTAGCTGCTCTAGACCCCAGAGCTACTAAATACCAGAACGCGAAGAGCCAGACCGAACGTTCTCAGCATCCGCCCCTCAGTGTGTGGCACACACATGTGCATGTGTGTATGTGCCGTGTGTGAGCAAGCGCAATGTGTCTGCATGTGTGCACCTGTGTGTGAGTGTGTAGCTCACATGTGGGCAAGTACATTGTGTTTGGGAGCAAGACTGTGTGTGTGTGTTTATGTGAGTAAACATGTGTGTGCAGATATGTGCGCTGGTGCGTGTGTTAGAGAGTATCCGCATGCTTGTGTGTGAGCAAGAACATGTGTGCAGTGTGTGAAGTAGTGTGTGTACATACATGTTTGTGTGAGTGTACACCCATGCCAGTATGTGGACAAGCCCATGTGTGCATGTGTGAGCTAATGTGTGTACACATATGTGTTTGTGTGCATGGTTGTATGTGCTCGTGTGTTCATATGTGAACAAGCACATGCGTACATTATATGAGTTAGTATGTGTGCGTGTTTGTGTGTGCATGTTTGTAAGTTGCACACATGCTTACACGTGAATAAGCACATGTGTGCATTGTGCGAGCCAGTGTGAGTATACATGCATGTTTGCATGTGTTTCACACACTCGTGCATGTGCATGCTTGCACACATGATGTGTGAGCATGCTGCTATGTGGACAAGCCCGTGTGTGAGAGAGAGATGGTGAGTGTGTACATGTGTGTGCACACTTGTGTGTGAGTGTGCGCACAAGCTAATGTGAACAAGCCCATATGTGCATGTGAGAGAGTGTGCACATGTGTGAGAGAGTGTGCACGTGTGTTCATGTGTGCGTGCACTGTGTGAGCTGGTGCGTGTGCGCTGCATGCTCATGTGTGAGGGAGTAAGCTGTGTGCACACCTGTGGGTGTTGGCGCGCCTGTAGGGATGCAGAGCGTGGCGAGAGGCGGCCTTGGCCAAGCACCGGCAGGTAACAGAGGGCTCAAACCCGGGGCTGCGGCCCAGCGCGAGTGCCGCGCAGAGCCTCTGCCCCTCCGAGACGTGCATGATTCGGGGAGGGGAGAAGACTCCAACTCAGCGACCTTCGCACGAAGACGAAGGACGGCGTCCAGGACGCCGGGCCGCGGGAAAGGACAGGCCCATCTGCTCAGTGCCCCCAGCCCCTCCGGGAAGCCGGCGCCCCGCGGGGTCGGCAACCAGCGTGCCGGGAACTCGCAGGGTTCCGGCGGGCTGCGGGCGGGTCAGCGCCGCCCCGGGCCTGGGCCACAGCTGCTCGGCCCGCCGGGACGCGCGGCTGATCCCCGCCAGCGCTGCGCGTTTGTGCTGCAGCTTCTGAACTCTGGTGCAACAATAATTAATGTCAGAGCGGTTTATGGATCAACAGAGTACTTTCTGGTAGCACAACGCTGCACTCGCAATAACTCAACACTGAGATTTACCAGGCTGCCACGAGCCTGCTTCATGCTTCATCTCTCCGTGTTTACATCTGGTTTGACTTTCTCTAATCTAAAATAAATCAGCATGAAAAGCATTAGATTTTTCATTTAGATTCTCAATTGCCTTTTATTACCGAGATAATATCCTTTATCTGATTGCGAATGCTGGGACTGTTCCCTTGTTAGGTCTGAATGAAGAGGCCGCAGTTCAGGCCTCCTGTCTCCGCGCTCCTCCTTCCCTTTTGTTTCAAGGGTGCTGTCGGCCGGGGCTCTGGTCTGCAAAGGTGACAACCCAGCAGGGAAAGAGGACATCTGTTCCCCTCATCCTTCCTCGGGAGCGTCCTTCGGCTGTCCGGGTGGTGTGGCGAGGGCTCACGCTCTTTTCCCACCAGGCCCTCGGCCTGTCTGGCTGCAGGTGTTGGTGTCAGCAGCATGGTGAGCTGGAGGATGCTGTGCAGACAGCAGCCTGGGGAGAAAGCAGCTCCACCGCAGAGGCGTGCTAATGACCGGCTACAAAGTCAAATTTAGCTGCACTATTTTGTATATCAAAGAGGTAGATTTCCCCAGATTCCTTACAAATTCTTTCAGCATGTTCCATTATGTTTTCTATCATTTGCTACATTTTCTCCTTACTTTAATACGGGAGCTGATGATTCCAGAAACTGAATCCATTTCTGTA